ATGAAGGAACCCCATCTTGGGTTTCTCCCCGGATCAAGAACCAGAACCAGAACCCAACTAGCAGTCAGGATTGTAGTCTTAAAGAAAAAAACAAACCACCAAGTCCAATTTAGTCTCCTAAGGAAACATCAAAACTCCACTAGAACATGAGTGTAGAAACATGTCAACTTGTGTACGGACCAAGGATGAATAAAACCACTTAGGGTAGTGACAGTAACACTGTCATTTCTTCCAGTGAAATAAACCTGGGAGAAGATTCTTAACGTTAGAAATTAAATACAGGCAAAACGCCCCAAAGGATTTGTGATTGTCGTGGAATGACCCACACAGGTCTTGGGAAGAGAGAGGGATGCAAGAGATTTCCGGAGCAAGCGATTTCAAACTACTTAAGTTGTGGAGACACACTGAATGTTAACCAAATCCCTCAAGACGAAAGGAAGGCCACAAAACAATGTCAAAAAAAAATTCAACACTTCCGGAATTATTTTGGGAGACAATTAAGGAGAACGTTTGAAGCTCGGGGTCAAAATGGTGGACCGGAGTTGTTCACTAAGCTCTGAAACGGGGGTCCTCAAACTTGGCAACTTGAAGACTTGTGGACTTCAACTCCCAGAATTCCTCAGCCAGATTCTGGGAGTTGAAGTCCAGAAGTCTTAAAAGTTGCCAAGTTTGAAGACCCCTGCTCTGAAATGTCCTACAACACAACACTCTTTGGTAGGGCTTGGACACTTAAAGAAGCCCTTGTACAATTTTTGTTTTTCTGCTTATCAGCTGCCTGTTCCAAAGGCTTCTTAGAGGATTCCATACATATCCAAAATGACATAGAATGGGACAAATAATTTACTAAATTAAACAAAAACAGGTAAGAATTTACAACAGTGCACTGTCCATTCATTAATATGTTGTAGTTGAAGGCTAAAACATATGAAGAGCAATTGCAGGAAGTGTCTATGTCTAGTCTAGTGAAAAGAAGAACTAGGGTGACTTGATAGCAGTATTCCAGTATTTGAGGGGTGGCCACAAAGAAGAGGGGAGTCAAGCTATTCTCCAAAGCACCAGAAGGCAAGACAAGAAACAATTGTTGGAAACTAATCAAAGAGAGAAGCAACCTGGAATTGAGGAGAAACTTCCTAACAGTGAGGACAATTAATCAGTGGAACAGAAGTTGCCTCCAGAAGTTGAGGGTGCTCCATCACTGGAGGTTTTTAAGAAGAGATTGGACAAACATTTGTCTGGAATGGTATAGGGTCTCCTGCCTGAGCAGGGGGTTGGACCAGAAGACCTCCAAGGTCCCTTCCAACTCTTCTATTCTATTCTATTCTATTCTATTCTATTCTATTCTATTCTATTCTATTCCATTCCATTCCATTCCATTCCATTCCACTCCATTCCATTCCACTCCACTCCACTCCATTCCACTCCATTATTCTATACTCTATATTCTATTCATGTGTGTTGCCTGTGTTACCCACAATTGGACCCACTTGTTTCCTTGAAGGTCACACACATAAATAAAACAGATGGAGCCAAAGATCACATCACAGTGACTGTCTTGGCTTCAGGCATCCCAGAGTCACAGTTGTGACTAATTCCCTTACATGTAGAAGGCCGAAAATCATAAAAGAGGATGTGCTAAGCACACAGCCACAGTTTCTTTTATTTTTACATCCCTGGCAAGCATTATAAAACAACTATTTTACGAGGGCACTCATCCCAGACCAGCAATTCAGCCCTACAGAACACACACTAAGATTATCCATCCAGTTCAGCCAAAGTGAGACTCCAGGATCCTTTGAACTCTACGGTCCCCAGGTTTTCACACGCTTCAGTGGTGATCTGGAATTTGGACGATGTAGCCAAGGAGTCTGCAAAAGCCAATTATTTTTCTTCCAGTTCCCTAGAGAAGGCCAAGGACGAGAGACAAAGACACAAAGATTTTCCCAAAGGTGCCTTTTTCAAGAGGCAACTGGACTTTCTTGTTTTTCTTTGAAGATGTTTCGCTTCTCATCCAAGAAGCTTCTTCAGAGCTCAAGAAGCTTCTTGAATGAGAAGGGAACCATTTTTGAAGAAAAATCAACAACAAGATCAACAACAAAATCAACAACCATGACCTGGATGACTGAGAATCTCCACAGACCTTCAGTGACACAAAGGTTTGTGACTGACAGCTGAGGTGTCAACGCTGCTAACATTGGATGTTTTTTGCATTGACAACAGATGGAAATGTACCATCTTTTACCTTTTGCTTTTAGAGTTAGATGATGCTGGGAGGGGGGATGTGAACGAGAGTCCAGCTAGACATAACAACACTAAACCTAGCGTGAGAATCAAGGTTATTGAGCCCAGAGCTGATAAGGATTTGGTGGGCTGGAGAATTGGAGAAGAAGCCCGTGCTTCAAACTAATTGAGGAATGTGATTTATGACTGTTAATTAGAGGAGGGAATTGTGCTTTGATACTATGTGCTCAGGGGAGGGGAATTCAGTTTTTGGCTTTGATTATGCACTGCCGATGTTATGCTACTCAAAATAAAGATTCTTTAAGGTAAACAATGCCTTTCATCTGTCGGAACCGTGACATGAGGTTTCCGAGCACAATTTTACCAGGACTCTTTAATCAAGATGATCTGGAGGAAGATGTTGAACTGTGGTGTTCTTGGTGCTGTCTGAGCTTGGTTCTTTCTTTGCAGATGTTTCATTATGTAAGTAACATCTGTATGGCTGAGAGGGGGGTGGAATTTTCTCTTTGTTTATATACAGTGGTTTGCCCTGACAGTGTTGGTGGGAGTGTGATTTTTGTCTTGGTAATTCCTTAGTTAAGTTGTGGTTCACTCCTGATTTATCTGAATTAGTTGTTTCTTGATTAAGGTACTAATTTTGGTTTGTCTGGTGGTACTCCCTGCCTCTCTAGGTGCTGATTGCTGTCAAGGAAGTATTCTGATCTTTTCGTTTCCTTTTTAGTTTTTTTATGGATTTTTTTTCCAATGGTGTGTAAATGTTGTTCATCTCTATGTGCCCGTTGATGGCGGAGTGTTGAATGTAAATATTGAATTAATACAACATAAAAATTCCGGCACTGACTCTCCCAGGAATAAGACATTTAGGAGAGATTTGAAGATGCGTGTAGAATCTACTGGAGATTTGGTTGGGAAAAAAAAAATAGGCATTGATTGTTTCATGTTTGACATCCACATTAATCCTATTACATTTTCTGTGACTTCTGAATGGGGTCAAAAATAAGCCAGACCTGATTTTCTTGACCCTTCTTCCTGAACTGTTTACAAATCTGTTGGCCTTTTAAGTCTCTCTGTTTGTGGTAAAAGATATTTTCCTAATTTTTTCAATTGTAAATTGAACTTCCCTCTCTCCAAACAATTTAAATCCATACAGTAAAACTATTAATCAATCCTTCTCAAACTTTGCAGGTTTCCTAGATAGAGTTCCTTTTATGCCCACCGCTAGTTTAATAACAATTACAGTAGCTTCAAAAGAGAAATAACTGTGGGCGAAAAGAAATAACCTTGTAAATATTTCTTTTTTCTTCCATAACATAGGAACCTCACATTTGGCAGCCACTGTGCTCTTTCAGAAGGTCCAGATTTCATCCAGTTTATCGTCAAAATAAATAAAATATTATTCTGAGTCCCATTCTACATAAGACAAATCTCAGGAACTTCATTTAGTCAAGACACTCAATTTTGGTCCAACAGTTTCATGGTCTCAAACGAAGGAGACTGTGAAAGGAAAACTAAGGGTTTTTTGTAGTCACCATCAGATAAAAGTCCTAATGGAAACTTGGAGTTGACATACATTACGTGCTGTCCTTGAATTACGGCCACAGTGGAGCCCAAAAATGTATGTTGCTCAGTGAAAATTTGTTGAGTCTTCCCCCGTTTTACGACTTTTCTCGCCACAGCTGTGAAGTGGATCACTGCAGTTGGTAAGTTAGGAACCCGGTTGTTAAGTGAATTGGGCATCCCCCGTTGACTTTGCTTGTCAGGAGGTCGCAAAAGGGGAACACATGATACCCCCCAGGACACTACAACCGTCATAAGTACGAGTCAGTTGCCAAGCGTCTGAATTTTGATCGCGTGAGCACAGGGATGTGAAAATGGCCATGTCACTGTTTTTCAGTGCCGTTGTAAACTCTGAAAGGTCACTAAATGAACTGTCTGTCGTACGTCGAGGACTTTGTATTCATAAACACCCATTGGTTTCTGTACTTTTTTTTTCATTTTTATGACCTTCTAAATGTGGCTAAAGAGCAGTCAAACCTGGGTCACTCAAAAAAAAACCCACCTTTCTTCCAATTAATATATTATAATAATAATGATAAAGTTGGAAGGGACCTTGGAGGTCATCTAGTCCAACCCCCTGCTCAGGCAGGAAACCCTACACCATTTTGGACAAACGGCCGTCCAGTCTCTTCTTAAAAACTTCCAGTGTTGGAGCATTCACCGCTTCTGGAGGCAGGTTGTTCCACTGGTTAATTGTTCTCACTGTCAGGCAGTTTCTCCTTAGTTCTAGGTTGCATCTTTCCTTGATTAGTTTCCATTGTTGAGTTAAAAAAACAAATTTTCAGTAAGCCTCAATGAAGACATGCCTCTGAAAGCAGAGATACAACGGGACCGTGTCTCGTTAAGCATCTGCAACTTTGTTGGATCAAAACTGTAAAAATCACATTAAATGTCAAGGATTTCTTTCTTCTTTGGTTTCCACCTCAAAGAAAGGAAGGTGAGATCCTTCAGACGTTGTGGGTGCTCCATTGCTTTAGGTTTTTAAGAAGAGACTGGACAGCCACTTGTCTGAAATAGTATAGGGTCTCCTGCTTAAGCAGGGGGCTGGACTAGAAGACCTCCAAGGTCCCTTCCAGCTCTATTCTGATTGATTGATTGATCCCATAAGTTTTAAAAAAAGAGATTTGGGCCAAAATGAAGTGAGAAAAAAAGTAAGACCTTCTATCTCCTTTCAGAACAGGGGTCTCCAACGCCCAGTCCACTACCGGGCTGCAGCCTGTTTGAAACAAGGCTGTGGAAGAAATGGGCAAGCGCGCACACGAAGTACCACTCATGCAAACAGTGGGCAAGCGCGTAGATGTGCATGAAGTTCCACTTGCACTCATGGCGGACACTCGCGTTCACGCACATAGCTCCATTTGTGCAAATGGAGCTTCATGCACGAACACCCTCCCCTCGCGCAAGTAGAGCTTCACATGCATTTGTGTGTTGTCTCTGCCAGAGGAGCGCCACGTGCAAGCACAAGCACTCTCTGCTCAAGTGCTCTCCACTCACGTGAGCAAAGCTGCGTGCACGAATGCCACGTACCCTTAGCTGACACGCAAGCTCTATTCACGCGAGCGGAAGACGCAAGCGCACCAACCACACAAATGAACTATGCATGTGCGCAGGTGCCTGCTACTCTCTCTCACACACACACATATATGTGCCCGAGCGGGTCGCCAAGCAGAAAAGGTTGGGGACCGCCGTTTTAGAATATGTTTTAGAGCTGTGGTGGCGCAGTGGTCGGAATGCAGTACTGCAGGCTGACTCTGACCACTGCCAGCAGTTCGATCCTGACCGGCTCAAGGTTGACTCAGCCTTCCATCCTTCTGAGGTCGGTAAAATGAGGACCCAGATTGTTGGGGGCGATAGGCTGACTCTGTAAACCGCTTAGAGAGGGCTGTAAAGCACTGTGAAGCGGTATATAAGTCTAAGTGCTATTTCTATTGACTCAGACTTCTGTCCTTCCGTGGTCGGTAAAATGAGGACCCAGATTGTTGGGGGCAACAGGCTGACTCTGTAAACTGCTTAGAGAGGGATGTAAAGCACTGTGAAGCAGTATATAAGTCTAAGGGCTATAATCAACCGACTTTGCCTCGGTATTCATTTGGGTGGCTGTTGAATTAAACCATCTTGAACAGCCTGTAAGGAAATGAACAGAGATTCCTCAATGCTTCCTGCAGGGATGAAACTTCCTCAGTCACAAATTTATTATCTAAGGAATGCCTTAGGAGGAGAATCAGTTGTGGGCAGCCTCACAAAATGGCCTTCCTGGGGGAGGGGACGATAAGCACTCAGAAAGCTCAGCTTTCCTAGAATCTTTCTGGACATTTGTCCTAATGTCTTCAGTTTACCTGGCTCCTTAGTCGGTAATGCTCAACTTGCGATCACAATGGGAAGTGGAATTTCAGTCGCTAAATGATGCAGCTGTTAAATGAGCCATCATGTAACCCTAGATGCAATTTCGCTACACCGCGGGTCCTCATTAAGCAAATTGCACTCTTGCTGCGTGAATCCGGCTCGTCAGAAGCCAGACGGGAGTGTCGCAAAATCGTGATCGCGTGACTGCAAGATATGGCATCCGTCGTAAACGCGAGCCGGAAGCTGAGTGCCCAAATTGCAATCCTGTGACCGTGGTGTGTGTGTGTGTGTGTGTGTGTGTGTGCATGTGTGCGCAATGGTCACGATGTCACACTTGGGTCATAAGTCACTTTTCCCCAAGGCCATCCCTTTGAACCATTGTTAAATGCACGTCGTACCTGGAGGACCACCTACGATTCTGAACGAAGACCTGGTCTGCAATCCTTCCCCCCCCCTTGCCCCCCACACAGGTATTCTGATTTTATAGAAAAGTTTATGAGATCATGTGACGCCTTCAGCGAAGATGCCAGAGGATGGCGCTCTGCTTTACCACAGTGCCAGCTTCTCTTTTGTTTCTTAAGATGAAAAAAAATATTTGTCGGACAAATGTAAAAACAAAAACCCCAAAACATAATAATACGATTTTTGGCTCAGACTGAGCAAGCATCTTGGGACGTGGCTACTCATCCTGCCTTCCCCAAAATCCAGGGATGCTGTTTGTCCCTTGGAGGCAGGAAGTCAAAGGATGTTCATAAAAGAAGAGGGAGTCAAGCTATTCTCCAAAGCGCCTGAAGGCAGGACAAGAAGCAACGGGTGGAAACTAATCAAGGAGAGAAGCAACCTAGAACTAAGGAGAAACTTCCTGACAGTTAGAACAATTAACCAGTGGAACAATCTGCCTCCAGAAGCGGTGAATGCTCCAACACTGGAAGTCTTTAAGAAGAGACTGGACAGCCATGTGTCCGAAAGGGTATAGCAGGGGTGTCAAACTCGCAACATCACGTGACGTGACATATCACAATTTTTTGGCCATTGCCGGCAACGGGGTGGGCGTAGTTTTGCTATGATGCATCCGTCCCGTGGGCCAGCAGTTTGACACCCCTGGGGTATAGGGTTTCCTGCCTGAGCAGGGGGTTGGACTAGATGACCTCCAAGGTCCCTTCAAACTTTATTATTATTATTTTAAAGTGCAAAAGTGCAAACCATCAAGCAAATATACGCACCCACGCTGCATTTTTAATTCCCCCCCCCGTGCAATCTTCACAGCAGGCAATGCTACAGCACAGCTTTTATTCACTTCGGGGTGTGTTGTGTGTGGGGGGGGGGAATTTCTCCAAATTTGTGTGCGAGAGGGTTTGTTTTTTTCCACCCCTTCTACAATAAATGCAATCCTTCCTTTCTTTCCCTATCAAACCTGGAGCACCCACTGTTCTCACATAAAAGCCGCTGTGATTTTCTACATTCATCACTTTTCCCCCTTTCCATCCAGACCTTCAAAAGTCATTAGGGATTATTGCCGGGAATGGTGTCTTCCCAGCATGAATGAGCCCCTGATCCATTTGCTGAACTTGATAACCGAATCCACGCCATAAAATAAAGAGAAAAAAAAACAGCCCCAAAACAGTTGCATTGCATATCAATTCCAATCAGATTTAATGCTCAGATTTAAAAATACTTTTGGAGCACAACTTACGAAGCAGTGTTCCCAACACTTTTTTCCTACATCAAAACAAAGGGTCTTGCAATTCCTGCTCAGCTCATCCTTTGCACATGTGCTAAGACATAAATAAACCAGGATCAGTCCTGGTTAAGGAGACCACAGATCAAAGTTAAAACAAAGAAACAAACCGAAAGACAATCATTGCCAAATTTAGAGAGGGACAGATATTCATAAAGTCAAGAGCCTGCAAACGTCAAAAAAGTAGGAAACTCATTTCATTAATCGCACAACTAAACAGAGCAAAAACATTTGGAAATCTCACTTCCGTTTCTGCATTTCAAGTTCTGCATTTCTCCATATTCGGTTTAGAGCAGGCTGCTGTCAAAGACATTGAATTAACGGCATAGATGGATCAGAATGTTAAAATTAAGGCGAAGATTCAGAATGTATTATATTATGAATACTTGGGAGGGAAGTATATTCATGACTGTGAACAGGTGTATCCAAACAAAGTACAAATTTGTTGGGATATTATGATTAATAAAGTAGATTATGAGAAGTAAATTTTTTCCTGTTCCTCACTAACTCAGGTCTTCTAGTGTCTAACATTAAAATGCAAGCATAACCAGAGCGAAAGCAAAGAGGAGAGACACCATTGTAATTTTTTATTTTAATATATTATCATATAATTATAGCCCACTCGCCAGAAGGCTTCAGATGCTCTACTATGGCCAATCTGAGACACAAAAGGAACAGGATCTATTTCACCCCAGTGAGATCCTCCATAATATTCCAGAAATAAATGGAGATTGGGAGAGGCAGATCTCTTTGTCTGAAAGACTGGGACAAATTTTGCGTGCAAAGGGGAAAAAAAACAAAAACAAGCTACCATCGCTACTTCCAAGAATGAAATCAAACCTTCCTGTTAAACCCTTAACTCCTCGCAATCCGAGCCAGGCTGAGCAAATTTAAAAAGAACAATTTTAACCTAACAGGGGAAAGAAGAAGAAGAAGAAGAAGAAGAAGAAGAAGAAGAAGAAGAAGAAGAAGAAGAAGAAGAAGAAGAAGAAGAAGAAGAAGAAGAAGAAGAAGAAGAAGAAGAAGAAGAAGAAGAAGAAGAAGAAGAAGAAGAAGAAGAAGAAGAAGAAGAAGAAAGGCTAGCTTATACAAGTTTATCATCCCAAATCGGATGCTCGTTTGTTTGTTGAGTTCTTTTTAATGAATTGAACCAGATCGCCACTCCCAGAGACCCGCAAGTTTTTGGGTGGTTTTTTTTTTTCTTTCTACAACACCCCAATTCTGATTTATTCCTATAAACATCAGGACGCTTTGGCAAACAATGCCAGATGGAAGCGAAGCAGATAATGGATTTTTTTTCTTTTTTTTTTCTGTTTGCCTTAGAAACAAAAAAACAGCTGCTGGTAGCATCATCTGCCTGGCCAGCCAATAACTTTTCATCTTGTCGGCTTCCATCAACCTGAAGCCAATTTAATCCCATAATGGCAAGGAAGAAAAAAAAAAGGGGAGAGAAAAAAAGGGAATATGTAGATAAAAGTTGTTTTGAAAGCCAGGAACTCACTCTAATTTCCCCCTACTACTTCTTTTTTTTTTTTTTTTGAATGCACTTTGCTGGAAAATGACGAATTTATAGGGCGAGCATTTTGTTTGCAAACAGTGTCCTTGGAGAGCCCAAACCGAGTAGAAATTAAGCCTTTTAAAAAAAAACAAAAAACAGACTATCTATCCTAAACTAAGTTCCTTGGGCTCACTCAGAGTGGGTGAGCTATGGAGGAGCAAAGAGCAGGCTGCCCCCCACCCACGAAAAATATATATATATGTGGAAAAATCCACGCCAGGGACCGCCTGCTCCGAATGTTTCTTTCCTCGGCGCGCTTGACTTCTTCAAAGTTCGCGGAACTTCTCTCCGCGTGGGAATTTCTCTCCGCGTGGGAATTTAGCCGCGTGGGATCGGTTGAAACATCTTAAACCTGTCTCCGCGGCTCCCAGGTTCCCCCCAACACACACATACACACACATACACGCATCTTACCTTCGCACACGACGGCCAGACTCAGGGCCCACCTGGCGAACGGCATCTTCCCCGGAGTGGCTGTAATCCGCGGGCGAGGGGGAAGAAAAAAACTCGCGTGGCGGTGCCGTTTCCTTCTGCCCGGTCCTAGAGATCCCACTTGGGGAGGAGGGGGGTCGCTTCAATCCGGACGCCCCATACTCGGAGCGAGCTTAAACGCGCGTCCGGCTGCTCGCTGGCGACGCGAGGGGGTCGTGAGAACGAACGGCGAGGAAAGGGGAAAGGGGGGGTGGCGCGCAAGGAGCAGCCACCTGCCGC